CAACATGTCTTTTTGCATTGAATGATTTTGCTTCATATGCTCAATTAAAATCCCCTGCAAAGTCCTTGCATCAATGGTGGCACTTGGTTGAAAATTTGGAGAAGATAAAGTTGCTTCACTTTTGGCCAGTGAAGATTCCGGTTCCACAATTTTGACAGAGGTTATGCTGCACACTATGCAATTACAATAAGGTACAAAAAATGGTAGTAGATAGGTTACCGAGTGTAATTCTGAATTTAAGATTTTACTGAAATATTTATATCATTCCGGACCAGTTCCGTGCCACTAGTGCTTTGAGTGAAGAGATGAGGTGCCGTGGTGGTAGCATACCAATTAGGCAGAAATCTTATTTTGCATAAATGCCAAAGCATCAGATGGTATTATGCAGAAACCGGAGAAAGTGACTGCCTAAAAATATAATTTAGCATTAAGGATGAAAATCATGAAATGATACCTGATGAGCACCATGTGTTTGGCACCAGCACTGAGGTCACGGTGAAATAAATCACAAAAAAAAAAAAAAAAAAAAAAAAAAGAACATGGACAAGAGATGCTAGGAGCCTCTAACAACGTAGTTATAAAATGACCACACAGCAACTATTACGATTTTCTGACTAGGAGATGGGATAAAGTATTTAGGAAAATTCAAATAAAAACACTTCTTTGCAGAATACAACTAGGCCTAAAAGGATCTCTTGTTTAGAGATATGCTTAAAACTCATAGCTTATTAACTTCTTAAAGTAAATGAACACTCTACGGTGGTACTCGAAAATGTATAAGTATAAAGCAAATCTACAACGCAAGAACTATAAGCATTCAATTTCCTTTTTTTACATCTAACGTGGAAACATATTCAAATAAGGGAAAGAGAATTATACAAATTAGAATTCAGATATAAATATGAATAAAAGAAAAAAGCTTACCAGGTGCCTTATCTGAGATGCCAAGGCTCAATCCAGCAGCCTGTGCAACGTGTGCTTGCTGACCAGCCACAAGAAGAAGACTTTGAAGCTCACTCTCAGGATAAGCGGAGGTCAAGTCAAATGTAGCAATAAGCAGCAAAAAACCCAGAACCTCCAACCCATTTTCTACTGCCACCATCATCTTGTCCTTCCAGTCACCTGCCAACTTTCTTGCTTCTTCTCTCACCGGAGGATTAATTTGCGGTGAGACTCTCTTTAACTCCTGTAACAAAAGAATACAACTCCTCCTAATAACGCTCACGTCAAAATCACACTCCTTATTTTCCACAACCAAACTTGAAGGGTAAAACCCTTGCATTGCATCCAAAACTAATTTGGCTGGGTCTGATGACGCTTGAAGAATCCCTGAGATTTCGGTACCCAATAAATCATGTCTCTTCAAATGCTCGTTCAGAAACAACTGCAAGTCCTTACCACTCATGTTGATGCGGGATTGGATACTTGCGGGCAAAGGAACAGAGGGATTGTTAGCAGGATTATGTTCCAATTGCTCAGTCTTCACTTGAGAATTAAGGATATTAGTCTTCTCCAATGACATTTTCTTGGAACGTTCTTCAGCGGATTTACGAATAGAATCAAACTTTTTCTGCTTAAATTCAAGCGCTCTGGCCTGTAGTTCAAGTTTCCTTTCTTTGACTTGAAGTCCATTGGAGAGTGAATCCAAACGCTTTTCATGTTCATGTATCGTTTGTTGGAGTGAATCCAAATGCTTTTCTTTCAACCGAACCTCATCGAGGAATTCATTAACCCTCTTATCAATCAAATGAAGTTCCTCTAGTTTCTGCTCAAATCCTTTTTCTTTCAGTTCCAGCTTCTCTAACCATCCGCCGAGTTCCCTTTCTTTATATTCAAGTTTACAGGACCACTCCCCCATCAGTTTCTTGAGCAAACAAAAATCCCTCTCTTTCAACTCCAATTCCCTAATTGCATTCTCTCTGGATTCCAGTGTATTAGAGCATTCGGCCAATGACTTCCGAATCAAACTAAGTTTCTCCTCTTTCGATTTCATCTCTTCCTCACATCCTTTGATCGATTTCTCAATCAAACCGAGTTTCTCCTTTCTCAATTTCATCTTCTTGTCACATTCTTCAATCGATCTTTCCGCCCTTCTAATCTCCTCCTCTCTCAAATCATACACTTTCGTCCGCTCCTCAATCGACTCCACAATCGAATTTAACCGCCTCTCTTTCAACTCAATATCATCTCCGTACTTGCTCAACACCGTCCTGACCTCTTCCACTTCCTTCTCTTTAGCCTCAATCTCTACAGACCTCTCTTCCGCATTTTTCACAAACCAATTCAATATCTTTTTCCGCTCTTCGATACATCTCTCCATCGATTCCCGCTCCCTCTCCTTCTCTCTAACCAAGCTCTCAACTTCCGAAACTTGCCTCTTTTTAACATCAATCGACATATCAACCGATTTCAAGCGGAGCTTACCAGATTCATACTCCTTCACTCTCTCCGCAATCGACTTCTCGATTCCGCGCAATTCCAAAGCTTTGGCCGCCATCTCCGAGTCAAACCTCAACTCCGACGCCTCCAGCCGCTTCCCAAGATCGTCCATCTCCTTCTCGCGGTTCTCGAGTTCTTGTAATCGGGTCCGGATCTCGCTACGGGTCGACTCGAAGTGCTCCTCGAGCTCCTTCCATTGCACAGAAAACAGAACGACGGAGTTCGCTTCCGCATGCAAGCTCTCGTACGCTCTGCAGAGGCTGCTCTGCCTCTCCTCCGAGATTCTCAAATCCGACTGAATCTTCTCCATTCTTTGCGCTAGTTACAAAATTTAACCGCACGGACGCAGCCGCAGTTGGCGGACGAAGTGGCGGAGCTGGAAGAAGAAGGCGAAGAGAAACCCTAGCGCCGTGTGGAGATTTTCCCGCCTTTGTGACGGTTCGGTTTCTTAAAAACCCTAAACAGAGTAACGAGAGTGCAGAGAAAAGAGAGCGTTTGTGTATTGTTCAACTACTATGTTCACGTCTTTTGCTATATAGATTAGGGGAGGGACACCCAAAGCATGCAATTTGCCACGTGTCCAACTATTTCGTCCTAGTTGTAGAGAAATTTTTAGATGTAACGGGAACACAAGTGGTACACCACGTGTTTTAATATGAATGGTGGGAAATTTATTTTTTAAGTTATTAAATTTTTAGCACACATATCTCATTATTTGTTTAGTGACACGTGGTGTATTATACGTTTACCGATCACACCAAAAAATCTCTCGTGTTGTTTTCTTTCATATTTAGTCTTCTTTTTTTTTATTTTGAAAGGATATTTAGTCATTTAATTGACTGCATTTTTCCCACGACGCTACTATTTATCCTGTTGAATGGATTTAAATTTTAAAATTTGTAAGTGGATAATAAATTGGCATCAATCTCAAAATTTAAATAAATCTCATAATAATAATTTGAATATTGTTGACAAATTAAAATGTCGACTTTGCTCAACCCAATCTTAAGGATAAAAATCTTGTATTTCATATTCGCACGCTCGAAAAACGAATTTTTATCCTCTGAGCAATACTTGAAGAAAGCCCAGGGCTTATTTAAAAGTTATTTTAAAATGACTAAAAATTTTTTTGGTGAAATTGTTTTTGATTTCCCAAATACTTCCAGTCATTTTAATCTCATTCCCTTTTTTATATTTTAAGGAAAAATAACGAAAAATGTTTGAAAACTTTGAGTTTTAACAATAAGGATAAAATAAAGGATAAAATGAATAGTACAAGAATTGAATTTTTAATGTAAAAATATGATTTTTCGTTAAAGTAAACACGTTTCGTTAAAATTTTTCTCTTAATTTGGTGTTTTAAGTTGTGGTGCACAACATGAATGCATTTCAATGATTTTAGTTTTTGTTAATCACAACTAAATCAAAGTCACATATTGTGCACGTGAGAAAGAAAGGAGTTGTTCATGCGTTAACAAAACACGTCACTTATTATTTTGGTATTATGATATTTCTCCTCACTTGTAAACGAGAGGTTTTTGGGATCAATTTCATCAAAGACGAGTTTGAACCACATTGTTATGGCTAATCCAGTGTGAGAAAACATTAATGGCGCGTTTACTAATCCGTAATCAAATTGAGAGGAATTGGATTGAGGGGGAATTGGATTGAGGAGGAATTGAAATGAGGTGGAATCAGAATCAGATTCCTGTTGAAGTTGTTTACTAAAACTGTCAGGAATCGGAGTAGGAATGATGTTGAGTCCATATAAGTTGTTTACTAATTCATTTCAATCGGAATGAAAACTAGGTTGATTACTATATTGCCCTTACATAAATAAATTATTTTCATACTAATAATTTAATTAAATTCTTAATTAAATTTATATAATAAAATTCATCTATATAAGCATGTATAAATAGGTTTTATTTATTTATTAAAAGATGAACAAAATGATATTGAGTCTATATAAGTTGTTTACTAATTCACTTCAATCGGAATGGAAAACTAAGTTGATTGACTAAATTGCCCTTACATAAATAAATTATTTTCATACTAATTAATTAAATTAAATTCTTAATTAAATTTATATAATAAAATTATCTATATAAAAAAATATAAATAGGTTTTATTTATTTATTAAAAATGACATAATGAGTGTCAAATGAAGGGCAATGTTGGGATAATAAGAAACAAGTGAGGGCATAATTGGAATAAAATATGCATTCCTGATTCCCTTGCCCTTAGGGAATTCAAATACCTCACAAAACTAGGGAATCCGGTTCCTCCAATTTCAGGAATTGGATTCCTTGTTTCGTGTGGGCTCCACCACTTTTTTGATTCCTTAATATTTAGTAAACACCGGAATACTCCGTAATCGGAATTCAATTCCCTTTCTTTATTCCGATTACCCTTACGTAAACATGCCAGACTTGTTTGGAAGTGCTTTTAAAATAACTGAAAATATTTTTGGAACCAATCATTCATAAAAATCCAATGTGGATCATAAAAAACATTTTAGATGCTTTCTGTAAGAAGCAAATACATGGTGCTTTGATGAATTTCATCAAAACATTTTCAGTCATTTTAAAAGCACTTTCAATCGAGCTATAAGGTTATGAATACATCTGAAGCAACTCTAAATCAAGTTTGGACCCACAAAAAAAAAAGAAAAAAAAAGAAAACCAACACTATAAAAACAAAGGCTATTTACAATAGTCAGGTCAGATTATGTTGCTTCTCCTAAATAGTTGTAGTGCAACTTACAGAAGACAGCGGCTGCCAACCTATTGTGCCACCATAAAAACTAAGGGTACATTACGAGGAAGGTATCCGTAAGCAGCATTGCGCACTAGGACGGGACTTCAGAGTTGTGCAGCGGTCTTTCGTAGTTAGTACGTATAGCAGGTTCATACTCGGTCTAATCAGGATTCGGCATGGCTTTAAAAACTCTCCCCAGGCAACGGACCTGGCTTCCGATAGTCTGGGGTGATTGGAGGTGATGAATAGAATGTGAAGCAGATGTCTGATGATACATATTTCGACGCTGTTGTGGTGGTTGAATCGAGCAAGGCAAAGTGTTGGGTCTACGTTTCTTGCCTCTACTGTGTTCTTCTGGTTCAGCGTGGGAGGGAACAGATCTTTTCTGCTCTTGTCCCTCAACAGTATAAGCAAAAGGCTTTTCCGCCCCTTGTTCAACATTGGAGGCAAGAGGTTTGATCTGCTCTCGTCCCTCAATTCTAGGGGAAGGAGACTTTTTCTGCTCCCGTCCCTCAACTTTGGAGGCAGGAGACTGTTTCTGCTCTTGTCCCTCAACCTTGGAGACCGGAGAATTTTTCTTCCATCGTTGTTCAACCTTGGAGGGAGGAGATGTCATTTGGCGTCTGCGATGATTATTCATTTTTTCCAGAAAAGCTATTTGTGTTTCAATGAACCTGGAAGGGTACTCGGACTCGAGGTTGCTATCTTTGATACATTGAATCACAACTCTAAGAGCAGCAATCTGGTTGTTTACACACTTATCCTGTGAACAAAGGTAAAAAGTATGAGTCAGTAAATGTATATTTACATTGAAGATATCGGATGTCGAAAGAAAATACAACGGTACCTTTTCAGAAAATAATTTATGTCCCTTGCTCATTTGAATGCACGACAACTTTGCATTCTCCACAAATTCTTTCAAGAGTGGTACTGGTGGGAACTTGTCAATTAACTTAAACGGGCAAATTAATCGAACAGCCTCAATTAGTTGGTTCTTTTCAACAAGATCCCGAATGATATCTGTTACATATAAAACGGAATTGCAGAATTTATCAAAACTGCTCCAAAGAAGTTTCAAGACGAAAATATCATAGTAGCGCCACCCAAACATAAAGAAGGTAACGTTGACAAATGCATTGACAAGAGGAAGAAAATTTAAGATGGAAAAAGATGCAAGTTAAAACAGAATCAAAATTATGCAATTGTTAGTAAATTGAGAAATTATTATTTGTTCACTGGAAAAAAAAAAAAATTTGAGCAACTCGGAATCCCTTTGTTTTGAGAACAAGCATCATCATACTCCGGAAATTTGTAACCCTGCACTTTTCACAAAAGGATTTGAACAGAAACAGAAAACTACCTATCAGATTAATCCACCAAGATTGCAAAATTTATCAGTGAATCAAACAGCTACCAGTCCAACATGTGTCTCTCAATAAAGCCGTCTTTCGAGCTTGTAATTGCAGCATTCTTTTCAAAATTATGATCTACACCCTACTTTCCAATAAAAAAAGGGCTGGAGAGTAGGATGGGGTCTAACATCTTGAGGAAGAAAGATTATAGAAGGTTGAGAAAGCTTCACTCTTGACATTGAAGAACAGGGATGAACAGATGAAGTTCTTTCATTTATGTTTCAATTGGAAAGAAATAAGAAAGACTGAAAATAGTTTTAAGCCACTATTTTGTATTTGACACATTGCATGGTGATATTAAAAGCTTAGTTTGGTTAAGTGAGGATGGATTAGGAATTTAGGATAGAAGCCACTACCATCTCAATCACCTATAAAGCATTAAATAACGCCCGAGCCATCAGCTCCTTCAGGCAGTATAAAACCAACAAAGAAGTAACTATCACACTAAGGGGCACAAAAAGGGAATCTAGGACACTTATAGTGACTGATACCTATGGCCAAATTCTTCTCAAAAAAAAAAATCTAGGGCCAAATTTTGCGAATTTTCAAAGAGAATTTAAATAGCATGCCGATAAACTAATTTGAGTAACTACCACACAGAAATTAATTTAATAAACTTACCAGGGATCTTATCAGCTAAACCAAGTGTCTGACATATTTCTAGCGCCTGCTTCTGATGAGAAATCCTTCCAAGAAACACTAAAGTCTCTCTATTAAACATGGAAAGCAGTCCATATGTAGCTATGAACTGCAAAAAACCCAAAAGCTCAAGGGGTTGGGTACTGGCACCAATTTTTGATTTCCAATTGACTGCTAGCTTTAGAGCATCTATGTTAACATGAGGTCCAACATGCGGTTTAATTTTCATCAGCATGTCGAGTAGTGAAATGTATTTTGCCATGACAATTTCTTTAAAACCAGCATCCTCTATTGTGCAGTATTTATAAAAAGAAGTTTGCATCACATCCATCACAAACTTTTCTGGTTCTGATGACGATTGAAAAGCAGCCCAAGTTTCAGTCTGTATCAAACAATCCCTACTGAAAAGCTCATTTAAAAACCCCTGCGAATGAGTAGCATCTGTGGTGGCAGTTAGTTGAAGATTCAGAGAAGAACAAGTTCCTGCATTGTTTGCCAGTGAAGATTCCGGGGCCTCAATTCTGGCTGTGGGTAAGAAACAAAGAAAATGCAGTTGGCAGGTTAGAGAGTCAATAGTTCCAAATGTAACATATCAAATGTATCTAGAGCATTGTGTCCCGTTGTGCTTTGAGTCAATCGATAAGGTGTGGTGTGGGTGTGGTGGTCATAAGCTCTCACTTCAGAATCCTATCAAAGCAAAACGTACTTGTTTTGCAAACTTGAGAGCATAAGATGGTATTATGGGCAAATTGGACATAACGATGGCCTAAAAGACCAATTCAGAAGTATATGTAAAATGTGCAATAAGAGGATCTAAGATGAACTGGCATCAAAAGAAGATGAGATAAATGAGAAGAAAACTTGAAGCATGTTATGAAAAACCAATTAAGAAGTACATGAAAAAATTGCAATAAGATTAATTTCCAAAAAAAAGAAGAAGAGATTCTTCTGAGATATGTGAAGAGAACTAGATACACTACGTAATTGCAAGATAATTTGTCATCTTTGCAAAATATGACAACCGTTGCAAAAATTTCTGAAGGGACTAGTAAACAATCCTGCTCTAAACTGCAGACACCATAAGGCATGTCGAATAGGAAAATTTTCCATTCTTAATCGGAAGAGATAAGTTTCCTTAGTGAAAAATTCATCTTCTATGGACAACAAACGAGCCCTTAAAAGGCATCATTGCTGCTGATACACAGTTCTACTTATTGACTGAACAACAGTGAGAAACATAATAGGAACATTCGACTTTTCAAAGTAAATCAGGAAACCATTCATATATGTATGCAATAAAATAAAAAGACAACATAAGCAAATTAGAAAGTTAGATATAAATATGAACAAGCAAAAAGATTTTACCAGGTGCCTCACCAGTCATACCAAAAGCCCAGGATAATTCAGTTGTACGTTCATCCTTAGCAACAATCGCACAAAGACTTTGAAGCTCCTTCGCATCATAAAACGAGGTGATTCCATATGTACTAACAAGCCGCAGAAAACCCAAAACCTCCAAGCAATTGTCCGTCCTCATTTTAACCTTCCAATCACCTGCCAACTTAATTGCTTCCTCTCTCACCACAGGGTTAATTTGGGGGAGACACCTTAAATTCCCAACAAGGACAAGTCATCCTAGTAATGCTCTCAAAATCAAACTCGCTTTCGTCCACACTTGAATTTGCATGGTAAAACCCTTGCATAGCATCCAAAACTAATTTTGCCGGGTCTGGTGACGCCTGAAGAACAGCTGAGATTTCACTACCCAATACAACATATCTCTTCAAATGCTCATTTATGAACAACAGCAAGCCTCTACCATCCATATTGACGCCGGACTGGTTACTTGAGGTAGAAGGAACAACAGCATTGTTGGCAGGGATATGTTCCAATTGCTCAATTTTCACTTGAGAAACAAGAATACTAGTATTCTCTTTCGATTTCAGGTTTTGGGTGCGTTCCTCGGAGATTTTTTTTATCGAATCAAATCCTTTCTGCTTCAGTTCAAGCTCTTTGGCCTGATCTTCAAGTTGCCTCTCTTTCAATTCCAAGTTTTTGGCGCGTTCTTCAGTGGATTTTTTTATCAAATCAAGTTCTTTCTGCTTCAATTTGAGCTCTTCGTCAAGGTCTTGAAGTCGGTTCTCTTTCTGTTCAAGTACCTGCGAGATAGATTCCAAACACCTTTCGCCTTCTTTCAACTTTTGGAGTTCCCCAGCTTTTAACTCGACAATTCTCTCTCCCAATCTAACTTCCCTCTCTTTAACCTCAAGCCTACAGGACCACTCCTCCAATGATTTCTCACGCAAGCTCAAATCTTTATCTTTTTTCGAGTCTATTTCCCTAATCCTTTTCTCTCTTGATTCCAGCGCATTCGAGCACTCCGCTAAAGACTTATCAATCACAACAAGTTTCTCCTTTTTCAGCTTCAACTCCTTGTCTCGTTCTTCAACCGCCCTTTCCGCCTCCGTTTTCAGCTTCTCTCTCCATTTCAACTCCTTGTCACATTCTTCAACCGCCCTTTCCGCCTCCGTTTTCAGCTTCTCTCTCCATTTCAACTCTTTGTCACATTGTTCAACCGCCCTTTGCGCCTCCTTAATTCTCTCTTCTTTAAAACCCAGCTGCTCCTCCTGGACCTTCATCAACTTTTCCGCCCCCATAATCTGCTCCCCTATCGAATTGAACTCCTTCTTGCGCTTCTCAATCGACCCGATAATCTCATTCAACTCCCTCTTCTTCAACTCAATCTCTTCGACACACTTCTCCAACGCCTCTCCAAACCCCCTCACTTCCTCCGCCTTCACCTCAGCCAATTTCGACTTCTCCTCCGCCAACTTCAACTTCTCCTCCACCCTTCTCTCAACCCAATCCAATTTTTTCTGCCTCCGCTCAACCCGCTTCTCAATCGAATCGCACTCCCTCTTCTTCTCCACAACAAAACCCTCAGCCTCCGTCAATCTCTTCTCTTGCACCATAACCTCATTGCTACATTCCTGAATCAATGACTGGAGAGAGTGCAAGTGGTTCTAACTCTGTATAACCTCCTCAACCTTCTCGTCGATCAACCTCTGAAGCCCCCCCAACTCGTCCGCTTTCGATTCGATTTCAGAGTTGTACTTCATCTCCTTCGCTTCCAACTCCCCGTACCGCAGCCGGACCGCCGTCTCGCG